TCATTATTCTTTCCTTACAATTTAAGGTTCTAATGAAACAAAACACAAAGATGCATTCCAACATATCTGTTGAGATAATGCAGATATCTCGATAGAAGCAAAACATACTACAACTTGTCTGATCAGTAATCTTAAAATCATAAAAAAACGATAAAAAGAGTGAGACAAAAAAAATTACAATCAAATATCAATTATTCTTTTTTACAATTTAAGGTTCTAACAAAACAAAATATAAAGATGCATTCTAACATCTATGTTGAGATAATACAGATGTCTCGATAGAACCATAACATACTACAACTTGTCTGATCAATAATCTTTTTTACAAACGCATTTGATGCTGGAAAAACGACGAGCAATCATTTTCTTAGGGAACCGTAGTGAATATTGATAAATTAGATATACAAGTTGCAAATTAGTACAAAAAAAGATATCTTTTATACGATGTAACAGTCTATTTCTTTCCACATTTAACATAAATTGTTCAAAATGTTTAATCTTTTAACCTAGATAATTATTTAGTACAACAACAATTTTTGTAATATTAAATACACAAATAATCAATAAGTTAGAACTGTTGCATATTTTACAATGTTAATTTTTAAATTCATGCAACGCGTGGACAATATCTAGTAAATAATATTTGTAGCATCATTGCAAATTTTAGGTTATCATCGACAATTACTGACGATGTCGGACGACGGCGAGTACGGAAGCCAACGCCACTGCCGCCGTAAAATCAAAGAAGCAGGAGATTCAAGCGACGGTGTAGACTCAATCAGCTCTTTGCCTGATGTGATCCTCCAACATATCTTCTCCTATATTCTGACAAGATTCGCCATCAGAACTTCCCTCTTGTCCAAACGATGGAGACATGTATGGTCCGATACACCTTCTTTCTCCTTCGATCGGTATAGGCCTAGAATGAAATCTGATTCGATAAACGAAACCCTAGCTCGCTATAATACTCGTAAGATGGTAAGTTTCAATCTCTGTACCAGCACAACCGAAAATATTCCTTACATTGACAAATGGATCGAGTTCGCCATGTCCATAAACGTGGAGAATATGTCGCTGGCTCATGGTTTTCATTACAATGAGTACGCTACTCCAGGTTTCTTCTATACCAACTCCTCTTTCAAGCAACTCAGTATTGAATTAGGATGTAATGTAATGAAGATTCCAAGTTGCTTTGTGTCTTGGATATCTCTGAAGAAGTTGTCTTTGAGTCGTGGCGCAATTTCTGACGAAATGGTTGCTAAGATTCTATCTGGTTGTCCGATTCTCGAAAGCTTAGCTTTATGTTTCTTGAGTTCCCTCGATGAACTGAGTGTTCTTGATCTCAGCAAATTGCTGCGTTTGAGAACGTTAGAAATAGATCGTAAGGTTTGGGCTCCGGAGGTGGAGCTGATGCAGATTGTGGCACCACATTTACACTGTCTAAGATTAGTAGACTATGAGTTAATTACCATCTACTTTAGTTGATGTCTCGTATGTAACCGAAGCTAGCTTAGATATTCGCATTCAATCATTTGAAGAAATGGAGGTTGAGCTTCTTCTAGTCAAGGCCCTAGAGATGCTAGAAAAACTGCGTAATGTTGAGAAGCTTACTTTGGGATCAAATTTTCTTAAGGTCTGTTTTGAACCGTCCTCTATGTTATTATATGCACACTCTCTAAGAACTAAGAGGTAACGTTTTTTGGTATATTTCATTATCTCTTTGTGCTTTTTGTTAGATTATATCTCTTGCCGAGCTCCAACGTGTTCCTTTTCCGATGTTCAATGTCAAAGATTTGACGTTCAAGGCAATGTTATCTCAATATGTAATTCCTGGTATAGTAAGAATGCTACAAAACTCACCTCAAGTGAAGAATCTAACACTACACACAAAGGATATTCACGGCACCATACCGGTATATTTACCCAAACCTCTTTTATTTTCCTTGACCATTCTAACGAATCTAAAATATTGACAATCTATTTGCATATATTAGAGCTTAAAGATTGAGCTAGAGAGAGAGTGTGAAGATAAGAAAATTTTGTTATTAATCTGTTGACCGTAGTCAATGTTGTATTACAACTTATATACACATTGAGACCCAGTTTAATACACATAACCAGTGTATAATTAACTCCA